CTAGGCTCCTAGCTAACCAAAGTCGTAAGCATTCTCACTCACTCGGGGTTTTTCACGTTTCATCTCCGAAGCACCAAAGTGAACACCATTCTGCGGGGTTATTTCAGCCCCGCCCCACCACGCCACCGTCGTCTGGAGAGGAGTTGATCGCCGCCGTCGTTGTGTGGATCGAGATCGCAAGGAAGCCCAGCACAAGCAGCAGCAGCCGCCCCTGACCCTCCCCGTGGGAATGGTGGCCAAGGAGCAACAGTCTGTTCGGGAGGCCGTATCGTATCGTGGATTATTTACTACTGGCTAATTTGGTGTGAGAGAAAAACACTGTTCCTGGCTAGAAATTTACGATCGTTTACGAGCAAGCAAAGAGGCTGCAACTCGTCGAGAATACTAAAAGGCAGCAGGAGGAGCAGGAAGCAGCCGCCGCCGCCGCTGCCCAAGGCCGATGCCGCTGCCATTGCCGGGTGCGACCTGTACCGGGGGCGTTGGACGTTCGATGCGGCCGGCGAGAAGGCGCCGCTGTACCACGAGTCGGAGTGCGAGTTCCTGACGGAGCAGGTGACGTGCATGCGCAACGGCCGCCGCGACGACTCGTACAAGAAGTGGCGGTGGCAGCCCGACGGATGCGACCTGCCCAGGTACCGTACGGCTGGGAGGCGGCCACGGCCAGCTCGAACTGCACGGCGCTAGGGCATGACGAAGGAAGAAAGAGCGGCGGCGTCGAAGACTTTCGCGCCAAAAAAAATGATTTTAATTTTTTTAGTGGAATATTGATACTATTGGAGATGAGCTTTTTTTCCAATATTTTTTAGAGTTGAAAAACATGGTGTTTTGAGAGGAAAGTTTAGGAAACTTTTAGAGATGCTCTTATATTATAACTCGGAATAATACATTCTTAAATTATATATGGAAAAACTTGAAAGAAAAAAGAAACAATGGCCCACTTCCATTTCCTTTTGTCTTCTTCTCTAGTAGCTTTAGTTGATACATCAATGCTCCACTTCCATTGAAAACCGAAGCCATAGTACCATTTTCATGCCAAATCTAGTGACCACCGTTAAAATATTGGATGTGACGTAAGATCGAATGTTTCCGAATTAGACCCAGACACATCTTGCATCTAAAATGAAAAGAAAAAAAAAACATTGACGATTAAATCATCGGGTACAGGCGTACAGCACATGCTGTAGAGTCAGCGCCTCCAATCTGAAACGATGAAGTGGGAAATTACTCTAGTAAGTAGGAGAATTAGTTTAAATTTGATCTAAATCTTATCAGCAGTCAGTTACCAGGGAAATAGCGTTCGGACCTGACTCTGACACTGCTCGCCAGGAGCGGGCCCGAACAAAAAAAGCAAATCCCCATTTCCTTGTGCTTATCGGCCCATTTCTCCCAAGCGCATAATTGCCCACACCCCACTCCTTCGTGTTTATCTGCCCGGCCCGAAACCAACGTGGCTACTCATCCGTCCGCCCCTTCTCCGACGTGTGCTCATCAGGATGCCGCACCGTTTCCTTTCCCTGTCCCCGGCCGCGCCGCGCGCTCTCGCTCCCTACGCCGCTCACCTGCGTGGCAGCCACCTGCGTCGCTCGGCGTGGCAGCTCATCTATCCGCCCCTTCCCCAGCGTGTGCTCGTCGGGCTGCCGCGCCGTGCCGTTCCCCCATCGCCGGCCGCACCCTCGCTCCCTGCGCCACTCACCTGCGTGGCAGTCACCTACGCCGCTCCCTCGCCATTTGTCTGTCGCCCATCGCCGTTCGGCGCGCCGTTGCCCCCGCCATGGCCGCTGGGGCACACGTGACGTGGCGCCTCAGGTCTTCCCCGGCCTAGCCAAGGGCACCGACGAGCGTGGCCGGTGTTGGTGGTGCTCGTGCGCCGTGGTTCACCGCCGGCGCCCACCCCGACGGCCGGAATCAACTGGCCCGCCCTTCCCCCCCTATGTTGCATATGTGTGTTTCAAGTGTTACAGACGTTTCATATGTATGTTGCAATTATTTTATCTTGATGTTGCAAAAGTAGATTGGGGGATGTTACACATGTTGCATATATTGCAAGTGTTTCAGAGGCATGTTGCAAGCGTTTGTTCAAAATGTTTCTTCTATTTCCAGACATATGTTGTTGCATATGTTTCACACATATATTGCAACAGTAGGTTTCAAATGTTTCAGTTGTTTCAGTTTTATGTTGCATCAAGTGATTTCATGTTGCAAGTTGTAAACGTGGATGTTTCGTGTGTTTCACACACATGTTGCAAGTGCGTGTTTCAAATGTTTCATCTATTTTCAGATGCATGCTGCATTCAATTTTTTTTCATGTTGCAAGTATTTTATGCTGTACAGCGGGGGCGAGCGGACTGGGCGCCCGGCGCGTCGGGGGGCGAGCGGACGGGGCCGCGGGGGGCTCGCGGACGGTGGTGCTACAGTTGGGCTGCGCTGGGGGCGTGTTTGTCCTTAGTTGTTCATCCCGGCTCCTTAGTGTTGCCCGCGTAGAGAAAGAGGAGGGGGTCAGAGGCGACCGGTGTGCGTAGAGATGGGACGAAGTGCGCGTGTGGGACGGGGCGAAGGCGGACGGGGGCAGGCTGCGCCGGCGTTCGGACGACAGGGCGATAGCCACGCCCAGCCCCTGATAATTTCTAAACAGTCCAAGGACCAATCTAGAAAAACAATTCCGTACCATCTGATCTGGCTGCCTCGAAACGTTATCTGAAGTTCTGAACCCTGTAACCTCTCGTCCGCCATCCGCCTCGACCCGCCTGAAGGCTCGAAGCACGGCACCAATGGCCTCCCCCAACGCCGACCCGGCTCAACAGCACCACGCCTCGACGCCGCCACTGCTCCTCGCCGTACGCCACCTGCCGTTCCCCGGCGTCCACCGGACACGCACGCTCCCCGGCCCCGACGTCCTCACCCCTCTCGCCCGCCGCCTCGAGGAGCTCGCGTCCGCGGCGGCCGCCCACCCGCTCCTGAAGCCGCTCTTCGCCGCCCACTCCCACCTCTCTTCCTTCTCCCAGGTAGGCAAGCACGCGCTGCATTCGTGAGCTCGGTCTCGTTAACACAGTAGACGGAACCCAACGCCGCCGTGGTTTGATGGAACGAGCAACGAGCAGGGCAGGAGGCGGCTGGTGGTGGCGCGGCGTGCGACGCTGCTGTCTGGGGAGCACTGCTTCGCGGCGGTGCTCGGGGACTCGGTGGCCGGGATGGTGGTGTCCAACGGTATCAACAACTTCCTCAACCTTTACAACACGGTGCTCGTCGTCAGGCTCGTGCTCACCTGGTTCCCAAACACGCCGCCCGCTATCGTCGCGCCTCTGAGGTAAGCGCCATTGCAACTATGGTAGTACATGCTATATTTACTTATTGGTGTGGTTCAGAATTTTGAGATTTAGGTAGAAATGTAGATCTCCTGGATCACTAGAAAACGATATGATTTCACAACCAGACAACCTATATTTCAGAGTTGGGTTCTCTGGGCCTTGTGGCCAGAGGTGCAGGGAGTAGGCGATAGTAGAGTCGGTGTTTTTCTCTTGTAATTATGTTTTGTTTCTGTTTTTTTTTCTTTTTTCCGTCTAATAAAAATACGGCTAAATGTTTTGCCGCCTTTCGAAAAAAAAACATTTCCGAAACTAGCATATGACAGTGTGCCATTTCTTTCGTCAAAACATTCAAACGATGGACATGTTACAGTGACATATGCTCAACTATCACTCGCAAGTTCGCTTCCTCAATCGAAGTGATCAATGAACCAAATAGTGGGAAAGCAGAAAAGCTTCTCTGCCTTGTACTTTCTTCTTCTTCAGATAAAAAGTGTTCCTGGATGGTTTTTTCGTATGCTTGTGGAGACGTCTAAAAGTGAAAAATAAAATGAGCTGTTTTACTGACATGTATATACTGTATATGTAACAACAATGGCAATGCAATGCAGCACGATATGTGACCCGTACCTAAACATCTTCCGGGGCATCATCCCGCCGCTCGGGGGAACGCTGGACCTGTCGCCTATCATCGCTTTCCTAGTCCTCAACGCCATCACCAGCACGGCCGCCGCGCTTCCGGCGGAGCTCCCCACCTCGGCAGCTGCACAGCATCACCAGAGGACCGCTGCTCCACCCAGCTCGGCGCCGCTTGAGGCGACGTCCAACCAGAGGAAATGGATGCGGAGAATGCGGTCACAGAAGTCACAGGGAGAAGGTGATGATAACTAGGCTTGTGAGTTTGTGGCTGTGTTCGTCAAATCGTCAGTGCCTTGTTCTTACCAGCTGGGGATCATGCTTCGCATCAGACGCTCGAGATCTGCACAACACTGTGTTGGACATGCATGCTCTTTGCTCTCTAGCCATCGAACGCAAATTCTGGCAATGCCGCATGCAGAATTCACTTTGGTTCATCACGTTGCTTCAAATGGTTTTTTGCGTTGTAATGCGTTGGCGTTGCGGAACTTTCTTCCTTTGAGGGCTGTGCTTTCTGCATGTATGTAGAGGAACCTGCTTGACTGTAATAGCACTTTTGGTCTTTCAGACGTCCAGCTTTCTTGAATTCCGATGGTATGATCACACTTTCGGTCTTTCAGACGTCTAGACGTCTACCTTTCTTGATTGTTAAATTCTGATAGTGTGATCGCGATGCGTAGATAAATCTAGTCTTGGGACACTTTCATAACTTATCAATCGAACTTCCATCTAGTGCTGGTTAATAAATTCAGACAATTCGTGACTGTGCATGCTGCATTGCCAACAACGAATGAACTTAATATTGCGAGACCAAACAGGCAGTGCTCCAAAAGATTGGCAGAATATTTTGTCCTAAAATTGGGTGGAATGGAGAGGATCCAAACTTCCCCAAGACCACGGCACAAAACAGATACTTTTACTGGCTTGTGGTGGAGCAAAAAGATCAACAAATGTTCCTCATGTAAAAAGAATCACAATAGGCAAAGCTGTGACACTGTAAACTTTCTGTTCCTCTCACCATTCTAGTTACTTGTCTTGTGGCTCATAACAACACATCCTCAATCAAGTTCCTTCTCTGGAGCGCCTCATGCTCTCATCGATCAGCTTGAATGTCTTCTTTACAAGTTTCTGATCCAGAGCTGTTGTTCTGTAGATCTTGAACACTTGGTCGACACGGTCAGGCTTGCTGCTTTGGAAGTAGAGTTCCTCAAACTTCTTTTTTACAAACCTAATAAATGATTCCCTAGTCAATATAAAACCAGCACATAAAGATGACAGCAAAGTGGAAAACTTATTTTGGCATCCATGTGCGCATATACATCTTTATATGATACTGCCAAGCCATAGGGAGACAGAGAAGCATACTCACTCATAGGCATGTTCCACCTCCTGTTTGCCAGGGGCGATGGGCTGGTAATCTTTAAACCACTCGCACACACTTAAAGGAACCTACATTAGGAGAACAAATGTTATTCACATGTGTGAATTAGTGTATTATACTCAGCTCTTGGTAGGTAAAGAAGGGCAATAGTTACCTTTTGTATTTTTCTCTCAAATATGTCAAATTTGTTGAGAAATAACATGAATGAGGTTTTCTGGAAGTCAAAATTGCATCAGCTAGGTCTTGGAATGACTAAAACATAGTATGAGAACAGACATTGTGATAATTATGATACAAACCTCAAAACATCTTTGCTTTAGCACCCAATCAAAGAGTTCTTTAGTCTCCATCATTCTGTTCTTCGTCTCATCCTCACATAACATCTGGTCGTACCTGAAAAGTGCCCCACCAAACAAGTAAGGCTATGAAAATTTTTTGTGCAAAAAAATCATATTTATTTCAATTAGAAAGATAAGTAATATAAAAGGCACTAAAAATAGAACTGGATAGTATCAGTAACAGAACAAATGTTCTGATCATGGAAAACCAATCAGTGCTACAGTGACTTAGAGGCAACTACAACACAATTTTGCAGTGCCCAAACCAAATCTGGAAAAAAGGCACCTTCTGAGTAGAATTTGCCATTATAGGTTAAGTTCAAGCTAATCAAGTGTAAACTAGGAAACTGGTCTTACTCGCTAATGGCAGCACAGAATATTACAGCATTAACACCTTCAAAAAGATGGATCCATTTCCTTCTCTCGTTTCTCTGGCCTCCTACATCGTATAGCCTATAGACCTCTCCGCCTCTTTTGCTCTCTCCTGGAGGGCTGCAGAAAAAATACATGAATTTGATTATTACGAGTTATATCTAACTAGTGATAAACAAGTAGCACAATAGCAGATTACCTAAACTGAGTTTCTACCACACCATTTGTCCGTACTCTTGCATGAAGCACGTCCTCCTGCAAAATCAGTCCTTGTCAAGTAGTCCACATAAATTATTAAGAGTAAAATCAAGAGCAAGCCTTTTAAGACCTATCTCAAATAACCAGGTAGTGACAGAAATAGATATGATGAAACATCCACATGCAAGGAAATGTTTCTATATAGCATGAGGATGACTAGATTCGGCCAATTCAGACAGAATTCGATGTTCAGACTAGCAAAACCTATAGATATTAGACAAGTAGCATATATGATCAATCAAGAAATACCTCAAGGAAAATATCCACAAGTAGTATCATGAGTCATGACAGATCAGAACAAGATTATTCCAATTTATGCACTTTAGAGACTGCTTCCTAATGTACCACTATTATTCAAATACATAGATGTAATTTAACAATTTTCTTTGCTTGAGAGGGAACATCGTTGCTAGAGAAAAATAACCTCGGTAGTGTGACCATGCTTATGTTATGGAAGTTGAGAAAGGAATCAAAAGTCTTTTCAGCAAAGAAAAGTTTCTGGTAGATAATCGCATGGAAACACCAGAGGTTGAGACCTGAGGGACTCAGATAAGATTAAACCTGTTATATAGAAGTTCAGTAGCTTTTCCCCTCACTGCACTACAACTAGGCATGGTGAGTCTATATTGTTATATATAAGGTGTAAATTGTAAATGTGTTCCCTCCCTGAATATTTAAACTAATGGTCTCCTAAGGTCTTCAAAAGAAAAGGTTCTTGTTCTGCTGCTAGTTGACAACCTCAAACAGTATGTAAATTTCAGTACCATGACAATCAACATGAAATATTATGTCGATGTCAGAAAACAAATAGGTAAAATCTCTCTTTAAAAAAGTAGATTGAGGATAACTGTGTACCTTTGTTGGTACATAATCTACTTCAGATAATCTGTCCAAACTTTCCATGAAGTACTGTGCACAGTCTGGGACTTGCAGAATACTTCCTCGTGAGTAAGTTTCCTACAAACGAATTTCTAAATAATCAAGCTTTCTGTTTAAAAGTTTATACATTTTTAAAATCAAAGTAGAAGAAACCTCACCTGAATGGCTGGATCTTGCCACAGTTTTCTTACATCCTGTACACGTTCTTTGTTCAGCGATGGGTAATCCAACCTGACACCAATTTCTGATAGTTTTTCTCCAATCTCCTGAAGTTATAATAAATTACAATACAAATACACAAAAGGTATTTTAGTGGGCTAATAAGGTGTGCTCTGTGCAATGAGAAGCTTCTAAGAGCTAATAAATGCATTGAAATGCCTACAAAATTGACATTTGTTAACTGTTTAAACTCATAGCTACAAACAAAGCAAATGCTCAAAACCTGATCTAGATGAATATCACATAACAAACATTTCAAACAAGAAATATTTTAGCATATCTAGAGCTGCCTTCTCCGAAGCAATAAAATGTAGGTGCGGTTACCAGATACCAAAAGATGTAAACAATTTTCTGGAAAATCTAAGGAGAAATGCATAAAAACAATGACCTAGCCATTTCTTTACCTCCCTGTTCCATTTACTTGAATTTAATTTCAACAGATATCATTCATGAGCATGTAATCATGCAAAGCATAATAAGGCATTTTAGGTTAGCAAAGCTCCAGGCACGTTAGTTAAACCATAGCAATTGTGTCAGCCAAACCACATTAGGACAATTATGTTGCAAAATAAGCAAGTTTGGCAAAATTTAACTCTAATTTCCAAGGAAAAAGGTGCAAACCTGACTATCTGGAGATAAAACATATTTTGAGGAATCTGGTTCCACTTGGGCTAGCTCTTTAGCTCCCTCATATAATATCTGGGAATGCACATTTAACTCATTACTGAGACAAAATATCAGCAAATACGCCCTCACTGGAGCAGCAAACAACTCCATAATCAAAACTTCCTACATAATCATCACTACAACGTAAGAGAGAAAAAAAAGACACACCCTTTCTAGTATAGCATACTTTAATTGTCTGATACACGTTCGCATGGATGACTGACGTGTAGCTCTTAAGCTCTGCCTCGTCAAAGCCAGTTTGGAAAAGGAGCTTTATCTGCAATAAGTTGTCAGACATATATATGACTTGCTGTCTTGCTGATGACATAGGAATTATGATTCTCCAGGGAATGGCATAAGCCTTACTTGTTTAAATATTGTAGACTTCCCTGATTCTCCAGCACCTTTCAAAGAAGCGATTGAAAAAGAGGACCAATGTTAGGAAGACAGGCAAAGTAATTTAGCGATGGACAACACATTATCAAGTCTAGAATGCAGGCGAGAATTGACAAGGGATCAACTTCACGATAGTTCTTTTGGCTGACCCAGCAAACTATCAAGACAAAAGTCTACAAAACAGGTATACTTCACATGACAAAATACCACGAGTTCAAGTAAGTTGGCATTACCAAGAAGTAAGAGCTTGTGGATGTGTTGCTCGGCCTTTGTTTCTTGCAAAATCCTCCGGTCGATGTCTGCAGACTGCACCCACTCTACTAATGTCAGAAGGTAAGAATGTTGCTTCTTACCAATACAAAAATGAAACCTACTGACAGCATTAGCCTGGTCTAAGAGATAAGTTACCTTTGCATTTTCAGCTGCTTCAGTCTCGTCGAAGGAATGGGATCTGCTACAGGATGAACCCATGCTTTCAATCACACAGGTAAGCACAGACATTATTCTAGAAGCGCGCTCTCATGCCTGACTGGGGGGCGGACACAAGGACATGGGCGTACACATGTACACCCAATAATGTTTGCAAAAACACGAAGTTAGTAGGCATGACACATATATACGCTTGCAATTAGATCAGATCCGAATACAAATGCCCAGAATAGCTTAGGTTAGGGTTCGGGTGCTCGGTCTCGCACAGAAGGAAGCGAAGAGGAGGGGTGCGCCTACCTGGTGGTGGGTGCTCATCGCCGGCGAAGGGCCTGACGATGCTACACCTGGGTACCTGCCATAGGGCGGCGGCGGCGCCGCCCAGTTACGCCACTCAGAGGGGGGAGGGCGGAGTGAGTGAGCGAGCGCACGCGGCACGCGGGGTGAACGACTGAACGGGAGAAGAAAGGAAAGCCGTGAACTATGGTCGCCACCTGCTGCCAGTGTACGGGAGAAGGAAAGGCACAAGCACAAGAGAGTCCACGAGGGTCAAATTGGTTGGCCTAGAAAGTGAGAGGAAACTTGCTTACTGTTACATGTAAAACATAAAACAACTAGCATAGCAACTAATAACATGTGCTCTCACGGTTTTATATATATATATATATGGATTTTGCTATGTACTTAGATACTCCCGTAAAAGAATACAATTCACATTAACTTTGGCTAAACCCCAATCGAGAAAAAAAAACTAAATTTATATAAAAAATACTAATGAATATATTCATGATACAAAATAAGTACCATTAGATTCGTTATAGAATATATTTTAATAATAATTTTATTTATATAGACATAAATGTTAATACTATTTATTATAAATTTAGTCAAACTTAGAATAGATTGACCAGGACAGATCTCATAGTTGCATTTTTTGTGAACGGAGATAGTATATACTATGTTTAGATATATAGCTAAAGTAATGTATTTAGAAAAGTCAAACTGTCATATAATTTAGAATAGAGGAAGTATTGTTCCAGTTTCTTGCTAGATAAAGCTAAGTAAGCTATAAAAAGGGATCCAAACACCGGATATGTATGGTTGGGGGTCACTGTAACACATCTGGTGTTACGATCTTATTTAGCACCATGATTTAGGCCTAAGTGAAATTTTCGAAATGAGTTTCTCGAATTTTTTATTTAAAACGTACTTGATGCGATGAGTGAATCCGGTGACTCAGTTTTTGTGGACTCAAATCAACGCTCAAGTTAAATTGCTCCATGCGTAAAGATATTTAGGAATATCGAACGATAATTGTAGTCAATAGATAGCGTACGGTTTGTTCTATTAGATTACGCATGAAAATCAACTTTTATAAATAAAATAAAATCCATTAATAAATAAAATGATATATATTTATAGCCCCGGTCTAGTGATATGTTTTTACGTATAGACTCGTTTCAGTCCCTATGATAATTGGTAACGTTCCCACGACAGCTGTTCGTCTGGCCGCCTCATAAATTCAATGCAATTAGTGTGAAAGCACAAACTGACGAGAGAGAGAGCGCTGCAGCTTCATTTATTTTTTCTGGCATACAACTTACTCGTTGCATGGCAATTATTCACTGTCTTTTGTCTTTAAGAAAGATGGCCAGCCTGCTGCTTGCATCGTCCCATCGATTCGCAAAGCTGCCGAAGCACGCCACGCTGTCCCGGCGTTAATGAAGTTGGCCGGGTCACTCACGTTGTTTTTTCCTTCTTTTCTATTTATGCTGCCTCGGTCTTGTCTGGACTGGCTCTATGGTCTATCCTTGCTTGACCTTGTCGCCTCTGCTTCGCCAAGCCGTCCAGCTCCACTGCTCACTTGCTTCTCTCTCTGCCTTGATTGCCTCTGTCTGCACCTGCCGAGCCAAGCATCCGTAGTGCCCAAGTCGGCCCGTCACCACCTACCTCGTGTCGTTTAATTAGCTCCCAGCCGCCAGGGTCGAGTCGGTGCCAGCCACAGCACCACCACGGGTTGCAGCGGCACCATGACAGCGTGCACCGACGCCCACTCCTCTTCGCTTCCTCTCCCGCGCCAGTGCTGCAGCCCCTGCTCTTCCCCAGCTCGCCTCCACTGCTGGCCTCGGCGTTTCGGCGCAAGCCATGCCGTTGCCCTGTGGCACCCGTCTGGGCCGCACCCGCCGTCGCCCTGCCTCTATGGCGAGCGCACTCGTGCCCCGGTCCCACGCTGGACCCGTGGCTCCGTGGCGCTGCCCCTCCCTAGCCGCGTTGACTCGCGCCGTGCTGCCCCCACGGCCGCACTAGACCGCTGCTTCTTCTCTATGCCCGCAGCGCTGCTCCTTCTCTCCCCTGCTCTCCACTCCTTTGTGTGCAGCGCCGGCATCCCCTCCCCTTCACCACCGCTGAGCGTCGGCCGGGCTGTGACTGCCCGCAGCACCGCACCGCTTCCTATCGCGCCTACTGCGCTGTCGTCGGGCCGCCGTGCCGCTTCTCTCGCCCGTCGTCACACGGTTTTCCCCCCGCACGCGCGAGTGAAGCCACGGGCGTGATGGTCCACTGCTCCACGCGCCTCCTCCGCCGTCATCCGCGCTAGGCGCACCGCCTGGCTGCCGACCAGCCGCAGTTGCCCGCCTCCGCGACTGTTGCTGACCGTGCCGCTCGTCCCGCCGTGGCCGCGCCATGCGTCGCCGTGCGGCCGCCCACGTGGGTGCGTGGCCAAGGTGCCTCAAGCCGCTCATGGCCATGCCATCGGAACCCACCGGAGCGGCGGGCGCCCTCGCTGCCTCTGCGCACCGCCGGCCGGTGTTCCCCTACCGTGCTCGGCTTGTGAAGAAGACGAGAGGGACCGCGGGGTAAGAATGGAATCTTTCCAAGGTTTTCAATGCAAAAATCAGTGACTACTATGAATAGTGTTTGGTACTATGGGTTAAATTCGAGATAACCCAGGGGCCTTCTCGCAAAGTAGTACCGCCGCCGCTAGGTTTTCCCCTGTGGGTCGGCTTGCTGGGCTGTGGCCTTGCACCGCTGGGCCTGCACGCGCCGCGCTGCCGGGACTGTTGCGCGCACCGGTGGGCCGCTAGTCTGTCTAGCTGGGCCATGTGTGCCTGGGCCGCTCACGCCCGCGCCCGCCTGGGTCGGCCTGGTGCCTCCCGTGCCTGGGCCGCGTGCGCACGTTGAATGCCGGGGCCGCGCGTCCGCTGGGCCAAATAGGTGGCTACTGGCCCATTTAGTTTTATAAAGCAATTGTTAATTAGTTTCATAAATAAACCTGTAAAATTCATAGTAAATCATAGAAAAATCATAAAAATGCTAAACTAGTTTTGTTGAGTTTCTAATATCATGATCTATCTAATAGTGTGTTTTGTTCATATAGATTCGATATGTTTTTAGGGTTACTCTAATTATTTTAACATACTTAATATTGATAAAAGGTGGGCTTGTTGGAATTTTCGTGATAAATCGGTGATAGTGTTGACTCTAAAAATTTTATAGTAAATTACCGATATTATTAGCTGTTCAATATAATTTTTGTAGCTCCAGAATAATTAGTTTGCTAGATAGATAATGATGCCATAATTTGAATAAAGATTAAATCGATAGAATGAAATAGATAAAGAAATGCCTTGGGTTTCATGACTAAAACATTTGTTGGGAAATAACGCCTTATTCGACAACATGGGTATGTAGCTTAGTACGTTAGTCGTTAGAACTAGCTCTTTAACTTAAGAGGTGTAAATCGTATATTACGAGTCACAATTGCAGTGATTAATTACGTCTTTGCATTGCATATCATATAGGTACGATGCTGGATCAACGGATCAAGTGAAGGATAAGTGAGAATCTGAAGATGGTGTAATGGTGTTCTCTCCAAGAGATGATGCAATGGGCTTTATATTTAGATGATGGTGGATGATCTGAAGATGCAAATACTAACTTTTGTTTATATTTTACCCAGGTAATCCCCGGTGCATAACCCCTATTTTTTTATACTTTAAATTATATTTATGCATTAAGTTTTAAGGAGTTGGATGAAACCCACTTGCATATATATCCTTATCCTATGAGTCTTACTAGTATGGCAGGATCGCGTAGATTGCTATGCTAGAGGACTCCGGTAGAAGTCGAGTGACTGCCTGTCACTCGCGAGATATAGAAAATATACTACTGTATTATTATCACCTGAAAAATATAAATGGTGGAAAGAAAAATAGTGACCGGGCAGGGATATGGTTTGGTATTAGTGGGTGTAAGAAGTTGTGTCCTGCGGCCATGGGGCATAGCTTAGTTACACTGCTTTTCATGTCTGTGTCGGATAAGGACCGGCCATTGCATAAGGCTCTAGGCAAGTCACGGACTTATTACCCCGAGCACATACTTGTCACTACAAGAAATCCTTCCTTCTATGACAATAATCCTCATGACGGGAGAAATTATAATCATATAATATATCATAATATGACACAAATGTCTGTAGCGTCATAAAATCAGGACTGTCAGAACTATATATGACGATTCTTTTTCTTTTGTCACATAAAGAAACCAAGGATCGTCATAAAATGTAATTCTTAGTTAGTCGGTCGATAGTAGCGAATTTATGACGATATATAGAGTTTTTATGTGACGACAGTAGACCATAACTAAATGTTTTGTCAAATACGATGACCCTAACGTCAATATACCCCACTAGGGGCTGGAACTTGGTCTTGGCTCTGGGCTAGCCCAACGCGGGAGAGGGATAATGCGCGGGCGACGTTGGGCTCGGAACTGGGCCTAGGCCCAGGTGAAAAGGAAGAGGGGGCGCGGGTGGAGGGAGACAGGCCAGGCCTCAAAGAGTAAGACCAGAGAGACATTTTTTTCTTTCTTTTTTTTAATTTTTAAACCCATTTTGAGTTCAAATTCAAGAGCTTTAAATTGTTCAAAGAAATTTAGATGAAGAAATGACCAAGACCAAAGTTACAGATCTTGATGAGTTGTACAACTTTGTTGTTGCTCACTTTTTCATTTGAAACCATTTTACTATGTCAAAATTCTATTCGAATTTA